GGGGGGGGAGGGGGGAAGGAGAGCCCGTTCCCACCTTGGGACCACGCAAAACCTAGGTATAGAGTTATATTCATGGAAGCAACAAGTGCTGAACAGGTAAGAATTTAGAATTTATAATTTTATATCATTATAATTTCATAACTCTTCCATTCCTTCACTTTTCGTCTTCTACTTCTCTATTTCTTCTCTTTCTTGTCTGTTTTTATCTTAAATAATTTCTATACTACATTAAATCATACAAATTATTTTGTTACCACAATCGTCGTACTGACGAAATCCAATTGTGGTAACGGTAGGAAATGTATACGACTTAACGGACCGAAACATTTCTTACATATTACAAATATTTCCACGGTCCCCCTTCCCTTTCTTACTTCGCTTTTCCTTCGTTTTCTTCCCTTCTTCATCTTTTCTACTTCAATATTTTCTCTTTGTTCTTTAATAGAGTTGTAACACTGTCACTTAGAGCTACTTTAGTTCAGAGCTACTTATCGTGTAATAGATCAAATAATAATTAATGCTTTTTTGTTAAAAGTGGGTTAAAGAACAACTGCGTTACTATAACACAATACCCCTGTCCCTGTTTCAAGCTTTGGCTGCCCTACCTTCATTGAACTTTCGATCTCTGATATCTGGGGTATAAAAGCACTTCCCCCCATCGCCGGGATCGCCACCGTCCATCCACCACTGCGACAATATTTTTTATTTAGCTTATACTCCTATTTTGGGGAGCTTCGACTCCACAGAGTCTCACTTTCTTCTTTTGTATCATCTTTTTAATATTCTGTGTATTAATAAATATGTATACAGGACGCGACGTCGTACACACGCACTTGCACACACTAGCTTAATAAGTCAACAGTTAGGGTCGCGATATATTTTAAGCTTTAGTTTACTTTAGTTTTAGCTTTAGATCCGGACTTTTGCAGCACTGGTGCCTGTGCCACTGGGGACAGGGACGGAAGGGGGGGCGAAAGACCTCCCTCTCTGGATTCGCCTATGGATTCGGATAAAAAAACTTTGACTTATCAGTGATAACACCCCTCACTCGATCGCCTTCCCCCTCGCTTGTCCAATCTTCGTTTCTATCAAAATCCATACCTTCAGAAAAGTGTTAGTGGAAAAAATGCGTTATGCCAGGGATTCTCCGCACCTCAGTTAAGCAAGCACGCAAATTTCGTTAGTTTGTTACAATGAAACACTACTTTACTGCCACACAGTTAAATGCGTTTACGCCAGCTTTGCCACCGAGTACCAGAATTGGTTGTGCCGGCCGACATCGGACTATTCTGTTACTCGTGTGCTACTCGTGCCCTACTTAAACAAGTTGATTCTTCTCATGCTCATGGGCTCTCTAATGTTATAGAATGTATTCTGCATTTTGTTAAGCAACGCTGTTACCAAAATTAATAAGGTATTTGTTGTGGCATAAGAAAAATAGCGTCCGAAATTAGAATTATTTACGCTAGCCTTGACACCGAGTACCAGAATTGATGGCGCAGTATGCATGGTTGTCTGTTGACCTCTTCTGTTACTTGTGTGCCACCGACCCCGATTTAGGTTGCTTCTTTTGTCTTTGAATTTTCTATGTTGTAAGAGTATGTTGTGCTTTTTGATAAACATGACTGTTCTCCCAATCAATAAAGTGTACTTGTTGTGACCAGGGGACAACAGCGTCCGAGATGGATTGGGGTAGCCAATGGTCAGCACACACAGCATTGACCTTTTGGAACAGTTGGAGCCCTGCCAAAATTGCTTCTCGTACCATAGACGGATCCAGGGGTTTTTCA